ATTATTAAAAAAATTATAAAAAATTAACCCTATTTAAATAAATTATTATAACTTTTAAACTGAATGTCCTATCAAAATGGAATAAATTTTTAAATGACTGTTAATAATTAGCGGTGCCAATAAAGTAAAAATTTCTAATAAAATGAATGTCATAAAATTAGAATAAAGAGGTTTTTGATGAAAAATCTGGTATTTTTTTCATCATTTTTACAATAACTTTAAATTTTCTCGAAAAATCGTCCCCTTAATCCTACTTTTTTATTCTTATGTTATTCTAAATCATATTAGATTTCTAATGGCAAAAACTGCACGTTTATCAGATGCACGTATGCAGATTGATTTCGATGAAATTATATGTAGTTTCCCTAGTTTTGATATGTGCACTTTATAAAGACTCACACGGGCGGATCGCCAGTCCCAAATAAAAAAAAGCTATGAATGTTATGTAATGTATTTTTAAAATTTAAATACTTTTGCAATGGTTGCAGTATATATTCTGACTTTTGTTTATCTTTTGGTAAAATTCTATTTTTTTACGTTTAACAAAAATTATTTCCATCTAAGAAAGTTACGTCTCTTCGTATCGAAATCGTAATAGATAGATTTTTTTAATGAAATAACATGTAATAAGCAAAAACCTTGATTGCGTGCGATAATTTGAATTGCAATTTAATAACCTTTACCAAATCTAGAGATGCTAAATGCAAATTGCCTTGAAACGATCGAAACAGTTGGTAACATCTGTTTACTAACTGTTTCGATTGTTGATCGACTATAAGTTTTTGCGGTTCAATTAAAATATAGAAATGGTAACTTGCATTGAATAGAAATTCCTTTAAATAAGAGTGACTAACTCGGAACTTACTTTGGTAAATATTACCAAAACCAACTGAGGGCATTGAGTTTTTTTTTTAAATTGAAGAGTTACGAATTAACTGTTTACTGCATGGTAAGTGTCCACTGCAGCCAGTGGATACCTGCAGCCAAGTTCAAACAAATAAGACTACAGATGCGTTGTCGTCACTCTGACTAAATGTCTCTCAACCTTTAATTATATAATTCTCTTTAGACGGAGATACAGCATAGCTTAGCACTTACTAGGGCCTGCAGAATTAGGCCATCTTCGGCTGCTTCACGGTAAGTGATGAAGCAGCCGAAGATGGTATAGCGAACTGCCTTAACTTCACAGAAGCCTATTCACTCCTAACTTGAAGAACCACTTATAACCTGGTGGGAAGGCAGATGTTGGAAAATTATTTCACTCCTTTACACGCACACACACACACGCACGCACATACACACACACACACACACACACACACACACGCACGCACGCACGCACGCACGCACGCACGCACGCACGCACGCACGCACGCACGCACGCTCGAACGAACGCACGCACGCACGCACGCTCGCACGCACGCACGCACGCACGCACGCACGCACGCACGTACGCACGCACGCATGCAGGCACGCACGCACGCACGCACGCACGCACGCACGAGTTATGTGAAAAAATAATAAAATTAAGTCTGGTTTGTATTCAATCCAATAATATACCTGATATCAGTTATCAGCATGTAAAGAGGGTACACACGGCTACACAATGTTACAGTTATATGAAGCTTTTTAATCTGGCAACCCTGACCCAACGGTTCGTTTAAAAAAGGTTTTGTCTTTTAAGATAAGAAGCCGCGGCAATTTGTTATGATGATTTGTAGGTTCAGCGTTATGCGTACAAAAAGGCCGTTTTATTGACAACAAAGTTCTTGGTCATGTTATCTTAAGTATTACAGTTTTTTTTTGTCGAATAGCTTTATTAAGTAACAAATTTATGTGACAATTCATATCGTTATTTTCCTACTTGTCAGTGATTTTTGTAAAAAGAAAGAATAAGTATCAGTAACATTACCATTTACCCCGTAAACACCCCAAGTTAGTTTAAAAGTTCAGGACATCCAGTCGAAGGGTGGATTCGAATGTGACTCTGAGTGTGCAAACCGTACTCTTAGGCCACTGTTGCTTTGACTTGCTTCGTTTTAATTCACTAGTGCAACACCAAATTAGCCTTTTATTTTGACGATTTTTTGACTATTCTAAGCCACCTGTGCTGGTGCAGCTGACGATGTTAAGCCACACTGACGTAGATTTATAGAAGTCTATTCACTTTTGCCTTGTAGACACCCACATTTTAATCAAAGAGAAAGACAGATACTGAAAACTTATTCCACTCCTTTGCTGAATGCATGACGAATGACGAGTCTAGTTGTCCGATGATGGAAGTGAGATTGATTGCAAAAACTTAGAATAATCTCTAGACCTGTACTTTAGACATTAAATTTTAACATATTGTTTTTTTAGACCTGTCGTTTCTTTGAGGAAGTCCATTAGGAAGGTATTAAGGATGTTAAAAATTAATTAAATCCGTGTTTATATATCCTTGTAACTAAATTCGACCCGAACCGACCCACACGAAAGCCAGTTGATATTGTAATTTTTTTCAATACTATACTATACTATTCATATTCATTACTATTAATACCTGTTAACGCAATGTTTTCTATCTATATGTGTAAAGTTTTAAAAAAATAATTTAATATAGCTTACATACGTGTAGTATGTAAGCTATAATAATTTATTTTTTCAAAACTGTAATGACTGAAAATGAATAGTATTTTATAGTATTGTGTGTGTCGGTTCGGGTCGAATTTAGTTATTTATTTTAAACTAACTTCCCGATGGGTTAGACTTGAAATTTTAAACATACGAGTAGCTCAGAATCGAATGACAATGTAAGGAATATACAATATACAAGTGGTATATTAAACATTTTTAATACATTCTTTTAAAAAAATTACTTGTTATAAAAATAAATTTAACCAAGAGCTTTTATCTCATATTTTTTATAACGTAATGATTTTTAATTGTACTGAATAAATTTTAGTTTTACATTTTACCTTACCTCTTAAATAGTACCTCGATAACTTTGAACTTTTGCATTTACAACAAATACTTATATATTGTGTAAATTAGAATTACGATTATTACTTGTTTATTGTTTGACTTCTATTTTATCATTGCTTCACTATTCTTTGTTAAATAGTATAATTTTAATTTATTTGTTGTTAAATTAATCAGTTTCATTTAATTTTAATTAAATTTATGAATTGATTACCGTCACAGCCTATTAAAGTCCACAGCTGAATATAGGCTTCCCCCAAAGATTGCCTTATAGAAGGGATATTTGCCATAGTTACCACGCTTGGCAAGCGGGTTGACAACCGCAGATTATTTTTAGTCATTATTAGGAAGACGCTGATTTGACATTTAATTTTAACATGATATTTATTCAAATAAATAAAATTAAAGTGCCAGTATGTAATGTCAAAACAACAGCTTTCTACTAAATGCTTAAGAAATTATATTGATACCTACTTATTAAAAATAGTATTTTTTAATTTTTGCCCATCTACCTATTTGTTTGTTCCGGCTAATCTCAGAAAGATGTTGTAAAGAATAACTGGCCATTTTTATTTTATAAAAAGAATTAGCGTTCCACGCAAATAAAATTAAACTCTCAACTACACGTGATCTATAATATATTTGCATGCTACAGATCTAATGTGGCGGTCTTGTGTGCTCAAAATAATTATCATAACAATGCTCAAAGCAAATAAAGGTTTATAATTATTTTCTAAAATCATATTTTGATAATCATAGCATTCCATAGTACACATAATGTACAAGATTCGGGACGATAAGTAAACCTTGGTTTAAAATGAGCCGAAATTAATTTAATATCATGCGTGCAATTTATTTTTCCAGTAACAGGCGTGGCCATATAAATAGTTTTAAAAACTCGAAATTCAATGCAAGTCAGTTTTTCGGAAAGTAGATCCACATGAGGTCTTATATAAATATGGTCCTCTTTTATAAGAAGTAAATCAATGGACATGCTTGAATTACGCGAGGTTATAAAAGTTAAACCAAATAAATGCCCCAATATTTATTCCATGAATGATAAATTAAGAAATGAGAATGGTGAGAATTGTAGTTGACCGCATAAATGCCTCATTAATCCAACATAAAAAAAGTAGGGTACACAGAGTTTATTGCGTGGTTGCAGCACGAATGGTTCGACTCGACCGCGGAAGGACCACGCTCTCGCATAATACCAGCGTAAAATTGCAGCTTAATGCTGCTATGTTTCGTATGGTGAGTGTAGAGATCCGGAGAACCTTTTTACTGGTAACGAGGCATTCCATCTCAGTCCTTACGGGTGACAACGCATCTGCATTTTGATTATTAATCGAGGATAGATGTAGATGTCTATGGGCCGCAGCAACCACTTACCATCAGGTGGACTGTGTGCTCGTTTGTCACCCTTATTCTATGAAAAAAGTATGTGCTCCTGTAATCCATTTTATTAGTGTGGGAATAGTAGTAGACGGTGCAGTGGCGACGTAAGAATTTACACAACACCGTATCTTACCGTCGAGGCGACAGAAGGGAAAAAACCAGGGGGAGGGGATTTTTGACAACTACGGCAAATACCCCCCTCCCCCGTGACAATCTATAAGGAGGCCTATGAGGCGAAAGAGATCAGAATAATAATATAAAGGATAGATTATTAGCGCTCGAGTGTATGCGCAAGCACAGGTGCACTCTCTATTATCTCATTCTCACAGTCCGATGGGTCGGGAAATCCGACACGAGCGGAGAGAGATCAGGCGCAGGACCAATTGTGAGATCGGAAGACATGACAACTGGGCTATAGTTTAATGAATGAATGTAATGAATATATATTTTAATGTCCCTGGAAAACTGCCGGAGACCTGTAAAGAAATTTATATATCTGTATAACTAATGATCTATTGATTTATTATGTACTTTAATAAACTGTAAACTGAAGTAGAACGAGTCTCAACTATTAATAAGCCGGCACAATTCCCAGAATGTTTGGTTTATGTTTGAATTTATGTCGCCCGAGTGCGGTGGCGTCAAGTTTTACGGGCCGTAAAGCTGCCGTTGGTAATGGACGAGTACTCCGGCGTCGCGGGACTGGAGCTGGACCCACGGTACTTGGTATTTGTAACTTTTTGTATGTAGCAGCCGATTGGTTCAATAGCGACCATTTTAGTAGGGTTGATGCAAAAGCTATGTTATGTATCAACATCAGTTGAGGCAAAGGAAATTAATATTTAATTTTTTTATAGGATTCACAAACGAGCACAAAGTCCATGTGATGCTAAGTCGATACTGTTGCCCATAGGTATCATATGAAAAATCAAAGTAGACGCGTTGTCACCCCTGAGGACTAAGATGGAATGCCTCATTTCCTATGAAAAGGAGAACCTTTGTTGAAACCTGGTTCGCTACACTGACCATACGAAACACAGTAGCATTAAGATGCTATTTTATGTTGGTATTCTGTTAGAGCGTGGTCTTTTCCCGGTTGAACTGGCCCTTTTATGCTTCGACCATAATATAGCTGGAGCGTGGCTCTACCACGAGAAATCGTTGAATTTTTACACGGGTAAGTGTATTCTCTTATGTCGCTACTACACGGCAACTTAGCAACGGCATGCTGGCTCGTAAGAGACGGCAAGGCAAAGCTGAAATAGGAGAACGGCAACAGCTATATAATATATCAAACTATTACAATCTATCAAAATCCACTGCCGATTTGCCACCGTTGTTACGGGCGGCAAGCGGGCTGTCAACTAAACCAAGTGGTTCTTATTTTTGTTCAGCTGTAATTAGAGATGCTGCTGCCGACCTCCCGATTCAGTTTCAGGTTGATATGGGGTAGTACAGTAACAGGATAGCTCACCCTCAATCTATCTCACAGGAGAGTATAACCTGTTTTTTATAGTAGAGGGGGCAAACGAGCATACGGTTCACCTGATGTTAAGTGACTACCGCCGCCCATTAACATCCGCAACACCAGGGGAATGCCAGGTGTTTGCCGGCCTTTTAGAAAGGAGTAACCTGTCAAATGACGCTGCCAACTGTACCTTCATATAATTTTTTTTCTCTTATTTATCGGTGTACAACAAAGTATTTCATGCATTCTTTTAACTCATTGTTTATATCAAACGAGAAATGAAGAAGAAAATATTCAAAGTTAAAGACAACATTTTAAAATGTGATATGCATTAATATTCTAACAAATTCAAAGTTTGATCACAACCCTGACATGCAGCCGCGAGTGGAGTTCGTTCTTTATGAATTCCCGTGACCCAGTCGACACTCGCTGCAATTTTTATGAAGGCAACCTACTTCAGTACATGTCGCGCTACAGCTATACCAACTTATGATTCGTATGTGACTTTTAAATTTTTAAGGATATCACTTTGACGCCCAGCGCACGTTTCCAGGGCTGTAATTTAGAAGATTTTGTGGAATATGTTTAATGGTTTTTTTTTATAGAATAAGGGTCACAAACGAGCACACAGTCCACCTAATAGTGAGTGAATGCTGTGGCTCATAGACATCCACATCTAGCCCCGATTAAGAATCAAAATGCAGATGCGTTGTCACCCCTGAGGACTAAGATGGAAAACCTCGATTCCAGTAAAACGGGTCTCTGATTTTCTACACTCACTCACTATACGAAGCACAGCAGCATTAAGCTGCTATTTTACGCTGGTATTATTTGAGAGCGTGGTCCTTCCCCGGTCGTGTCCACCCATTCATGCTACAACTATAATGTAGCTGTAGCGTGGCTCTACCACGTTATTACTACTCGGATTGTGCAAATATTCATGATGCCGTAACTGCTAGCTCTCGTACTTCAACTTTGTAATCAAATAGTGGAACTCGTTTTCTTCCCACGGGCCTCCTCTTATATATTTGTACTGCCAAGAGCATGTTGACATTGCTGTGTTATGTTTTGCAGAGGTAGACAGACTGTTCAATTATACAGACTGTAAAGCATTACAGTTTGGTCCCCCGGGATGACAATGCATCTATGACCTCTTCTGTTTGAAGATTACGCATGTGCTCTTACTTGTAGCTACTTACCAAAAGGTGTACTATCAACTCAACTCAACTCTAATCTTATAAAAATAATTACTAAGAAAGTGATACTTTAACAGATAAAAACGGCAAATAATTTTGAAGTCCTTTATCAGTGGCGTATTATTTAATGTTGAAATTTCGTATTAGAAAACTCTCACTCTTGAATCTTCAGTAAGTATTATCTCTTCAGACTTTTGTCATAATTTAGTTTTTTTAATATATTAGTTTTACAGATTTTATCGCTTTTAATCTAATAAATACAGTCTATTTGTTTATTTTAAATATTATTTATATTTTGGATGTTTCGAGTACTTTGTGACGACTACTACGAGCGTGTTTCATGAGTGCACTCATGAACCACGCTTGAACGGAAATATAGCGTAACATTAATAATAGCATAATCCACCTATTTTGTAGATATGGTAAGTAACGAACATTGGTGACCATTTAGTAGTAGTCCGAAGGGGTGACAACGTATCTATATTTTGATTCTTAATCGAGGATGAATGTAGATGTCTATGGACCACAGTATCCACTTACCATCAGGTGGATAGTGTGCTCGTTTGTCACTCTAAATCTAAAAAAGCAGCAGTATACTGCTACTTTACGCTGGTACTATGTGAGTGCATAAATCCTCTGCTGCTGCATAGCGTTTCAAGGTTGCAAATATAACGTCTGCATTATTAATCGTATTTGAGGGCAGATGTAGATGTCTATGGGCCACAGCAACCACTTATCATCAGGTGGCCTGTGTGCTCGTTTGTCATCCTATCCTATAAAAAAACAAAATCTTCCAGCTGTATAATTATAAATCACACAAGAGGTCATTTGATCGGTTATTTAGGGCAGCGGCGTTAAAGGCACGAGAAATATTTTTCATTGAAAATATGTCTTTTTGTTACAGGTAAATACCTCGCTTTCCCTGCAGATGGTAGGGCTCTCTTCCTGGATAGGAGACCAGGAGGTAGGTACCACCTTCATTTCTGCCACCAAACAGCCTGCTTGCACAGCTGCGTCCCGATCTGAAGGGTATTGGAAGCCAGTTTTATTACAGATAGTGAGGCACTTCATGTTAGTTTGCAACGCACCTATACCATTGTTTGTTTGAAGTGGCCGCTATTGGACTGCAAGTTCTTTGGCCACTTTTGTATTGTAAAAAAAAGGTGTTAGGCTTGAGGATATTGTTAAACTGCCGATTGCTTTACCAAAATTGACACTTTAACTATCGAACATCAATAACAAGTTAAACACGGTAACTGAAACATCTAGAATGTTCGAGCACATACCGGTCCCGTACCGATTGGGTGGAGAAAGTTCTAGTATGGAGTTTTCTAGAAAGCAATACTCGATGGCGCTAGTGCCATGTATCAGGCATTAATTACGGCGCGCAATAATATATAATATTATGTGAGTTTTTATTAAAACAGTATTTGGAAAAATATACTATTTATAAAGCATACAGGTTGTCGACTTACGGCGTAAGTAATCAACTTGGATCTCAAATTTTTGTCCTATGTTATCAGTATGTGTCTTCGCTAACAAAGGTCTCCCTTAAGACTTTATCTAATAAAAGACTCTTTAAGATGTTCTTAACCCAGCGGTACTCGCTAGGTGTTTACATGCACGAATACTCGCTACCGGGTAAAAAATACCACATAATTTAAATGACATTATCTTGGAAAAATAAGTTTGCATTACAAACTATAATGGTGTATTTAGTTTATTAATACTAATGTCTAATAAATAAAAGAAAATTAAAAGTTTGAATTATTATTTATTTCAAATTATAGCTTATCCTAAAAAAATACAAATTCTAACAAAAATTCTTCATAGTTTTAGAAAAATCAACAAAACAATTTTTTTCTTAGGTATCACGTAAAATTGAGATTAAAAATTATAAAACGACCTTATACACTACCAAAACAACAAAAAATAAAATACTGTTTATTTTAAATGAACATCGAGAAAATAATCGTCAAACATTATGTTTCAAAAAACTTGTACCTAATCTAACTATTTTGCTTTGACATAACAATCGCCACAAATTGGGGTCGTATGCTCACGGCATATTCTTTTGGAACACAATTTACAAGACGTCTTAGTTTTTCGGTCCTTCTTCCATTCACATACTGCACAACGGGAAGCAGATGTGGACGGTCGCAAAGCTGAGGGTGTGCTTGTGTGCGTGGCTTCGTCATTCGAGTCAGCATTGAGCATACAATCAATTTTTGTTTTGATAATTTTTGGCAAATTAGCTACTGTTGACCTCTTTTTTATCTGTGGCATCACAAGGGCCAAAGCCAGTTCTTTCAAAGCGATCCTTCTCTGAGCCATCACAGCTCCACTATTTACTTTATTTGCCTTCACTATCACGTACGCATTGATGCCGCCGACGTTCAAAAGACCATAAAACAAAACCAATGGCCATATTTTGGTAGCTCGTGCTACTGAGTAGATAGCACACATCTCATCCACAACATCGACGCCACATTTTGTTCTATTATAGTCCATGATCATCTCGGGCTTTTTTTCTTCTCCAGAATCTTTTTTGCCATCATGGTGCATAGTTGACGCCAAGAGCACGACTTTATTTTTCTTTGGAACATAAGACACAACAGTACAATTATCTTGAAATCCAAAAAGGGAACTGTGTACTTCCCGGTCTTTGGTTGAGGTATATACAAGTGGAATTTCAGCTTTATTCTTTCTCAAAGTACCCAATGCTGTCAAACCATAATCATTGAGCAAATCACGTAATAGCGGAAAACTAGTGAACCAATTGTCCATCACTATGTTACGATGACTATTCTTTATAGGTTCTACTAAGCGTTTGACGACTTCACTTGGTGAATTACTGTGATCATAAGGCCCATCATTTTTGCCAACATAAATTTCCATATTATTTGTATAGAAGGTTCGTGCGTCAGCCAACACAAATATCTTTATACCGTATTTACCGGGTTTGCTGGGTATGTATTTCCGAAATCGACAACGGCCGCGAGTCTTCTCCAACTTTTCATCGATTGTTACATTTTCGCCGACAGCATAATATTTTTTTATATTATTATTGAACTCTTCGAAAATCTCGTGAATGGGTGCTAGCTTATCTGTTTGCCTTCTTTCACCTCGTCTACGAATATTGTCAAACCGTAAACTCCGCAGTAAGAAATGGAACCTTTCTCGTGACATTGTGGCTATACAGACGTCGGAACCACTTCCATCTTTTTCCCAGAGATCTTTTGTGTTCAGGTGACCACTTCGCAATCTTCCGCAAAAATAAAGTAGTCCAAAAAGAGCTCTAAGTTCAACGATATCTGTACTTTTACAATCGCGTTCTCTTGAGAATTTAGACTTTAGCTCTTCTATATAAATGTTAGTATACTGGACTATCTTTAGTAAACACGTTTCCGGAAAAACAAGATTCCAGGCTTCTAACATAGATGAACAAGATCTGCCTTCGCCAATCGGTCCCGGCAAATGATATATAATGTTATGGGATCTTGTTCGTACACGTCGCGGCGGCTCACGAACTTGCCAGCGAGTTCTTTTGTCTTTTCCAGTAAAACGACCTCGCCTCAAGTACTTAAGCGGTACATCCTCTAAATATTCTTCATCTTCAGTATTCTCAATTTGTAAATTCGAAGGAAAACTCTCTTCCGACACTGAAGACCCATCTGAATCACTTGCTTCTTGCTCTGTTCCGCTTTCATGATCACTATGCTCCTCAAAATCTTCTATTTCTGCCACATTTTCTTCTTCACTATCTTCTTGTTCTAGACATTCTTCTATAATTCGATCCGTCAGTAGGGAACTCATCATGAACCAGCTCTAAAACAAAATAATAACATAAAAAAAACCACCAATAACATAAAAAAAAATGTAACAAGAACCGTCGCTACCGGGTATTTTTCACCCATACTCACTTTAAACGTCCGTTGTCGCCAAGCGCCGCGCGCGGAACTGGCCGCCCGGTGACGCACGAGCGTGTTAACTATTGGCCAGAAGGTACTTAAAGTCGTGAGTTGCCACCATGTTTAGTAATAAAAATATCACGTGATTTAGGTAATCTGTGGTATTTTTTACCCAGCAGCGAGTACCGCCGGGTTAAGACTGTCTTCATAAACATGTACGGTAATACGTACTAGAGCTTTGTCTGCTAGATGTCTAGACGTATAGTATGTTTATGCCGCTGTCTTAAGACGGTATTAATTAAGATGCTCTCTGAGTGTACTGTAATTATCCTCAGTACTCACTAATGCTTAAGGATGTGTGCGGCCAGACATGCATTAAAATGTTTCTTACTAAACTTAAATTGTAAAATTGAACAGGCACTAACAGAAATAGCAAGCGAAATTCATTCATATTTGTATTTACGGACGGTTATCCTAAAGACGACAGTAAATTGGGTTCTGTATAGAGACTGGTAGTTCTTTATAGAGAAATAAAAAAAAACTTTTTATTCAATATAGATTATAAGTTATAAAATACGTCTGTCCTGGAGAGAACCAGCAAGATACCCAGCAGGAACAGTTTACAAACATTAAAATCGCACAATAATTAATAAAACAAAATAAAATAGAAATAGCATTTTTGCGATCATCGCATTCTCAGCGGTTATTATAATATTTTATTATATATAATCCATAATTTATTTAATATTAATGATCTATTTCTACAATCTTTGTGTTTAATAAAGTTTTAAAACTTGGCGAAATTCAAATTTTGTATGTTTTCTGGGATTTTGTTGTAAAAGGGTATTTATTGTACATCGCCCCAGGAATGAATTACTGACTCTATGGAGTCGAGTTACTGGCACTACTAGCTTGTATCTGTTCTTAGTATTTACAGAATGAATAACACTTATTTTATCAAAACTATTTATTTTTTGTGGAAAAGAAAAAAACGCCTAATGGAGATGATGAGAAAAGGCTGACGCATGCCCTGCGCTAATCTGTTGACTCTTTAATTAGGTTTCGTCGCGCGTTGCGCAAGCAAGTGTTAACGGACGTAAATCAATGTACAGCATTGTAACCTATTTCTTTATAAATGAGACTGATAATAGCATGTTGTTTGTACCTATCTTACAATAAATAACGTGCAAATAAAAAACCCTACTGGAATCATCATTGGTGCATTGGTGTATAGAATAATTTTTATTCAATATAGATTACAAAAATACTTATTGAAAGTCATACATGTACCAACACATATACCATATATACCACTGGTTAGGTTACTTCTGGGAAGACCAGCGAGAAACCCAGCGCAGCGGGACACTTTTCTTTAAACAATAATTTACAATTTTATATGTTGTAGATCCACTTTAATATGAAAAGATTTTCAAACAGCATCTTAGTGATCACCTTATTCCCAGAGGTTATTATAATATCATGTACTATTTAATAGTATTGTGAGTGAGTGAATCATTAAATATTCTTTTTTTAATTTCAACCAACAAGGATCATAGGATAAAACATGCTATATATGTATATTAAATTTACAAGAAGTTACGTTACCTCAAAGATTACAAAACATAAATCACAGTGGGTAAGTGAGGCGGTTCCGTTCCATGGTTGTGATCGCTTGCCAACTAGCACTATTCTGTTTCAGCAGGTTTATAAACCTTCGATGCGTTTTAACTGTGAAAGGTGTGTGTGACCTCGCGGCAAATTAAACAGCGCATAACTGCAACGTAATATATTGTTGAGATTTGTGAAAGTAAAGTGTAGAATTTTTAGTAAACATGCTTTTATAAAGATTACGAAAGCAGCCAGGAATTGAAGCCTTCTGCTCGGAGTCCGTCTTCTGCTCGGGTTAAACCCTTCGGGTAGTTCTACCCTATTTCTAATAAAGACCTTGTAAAGTTGGTATAGAAAACTGGATGTTATAATACGAAGAACCGGAGATTTATTTTACTGGATATGAAGTATTCTATATTTATCCTCACGGGACAACGAAACTGCATTTTGATTCTTGGTGTATCGATGTAAGAATATCCACTAGCTCATATCAACCCGCAAATGTCGTAAGAGGCGCCAGAGGGAGACAGGCAGGAGATGGGCAGCAGCGTGTTCCTGATAACAACTTAAAATTATAAAAAACTGCGGTTACCACGCCGCCTGCCAAGCGTGGCAGCTATGGAAAAGTCCCCCCTATGAGGCAACCTTAGTGGAAGAGCTTATTTAACAATGGACTTTAATAAATTGTAGTGGATGAATGAATGGAAGGAGTATATAAGCCATAAGCATTCAGTGACAATCGAATGGACTGTGCGCTTGATTGTCACTCATATTCTATAAAAAGTATATAATAAATTCTAAAGCTCCCGCCTTAAATGGCTCGCTATCAAACAAAGGTGAGACTCTAAAATTTTGCTAGTCCTCTTCACCATCTTAAATGATCCACTTCTTAAATTTCAGTATATTTCCTCAACCCATGATAGAGCTCTACTTTCCTCGTATAATAATAAACTAAGTATCCCACTACGTTTTACTAATTTTGTTGGTAATTCCTTCACCATTCGGGCTGCACTGTTCTGAAAGTCCTTGCCCGAAGACGCTTGAAAATTATCCAATAAAACACTGTGTGAATATAATATCAGATGGTAGCTGATATGGTCAATTTGGTTACTTTTGTTGTTATTTTATTCTAATTTTAAGTTTAATTTTTTCCGATTTACTTTAATTTTTATTTTTGGCACCTATCACATTATTTTCCACACGTACCGGGTCGAATGGGAGAAAATGCCAAAAGATATCAAGTCCGCCCTATGTAATCCTTTTTATAAATTGTAAATAATAAATTAATAAATAAATCCGCCTGAGCTGACTTGTTGAAGCAACGACGTAGCTTTCTTGACTTTTGATTTCTTCTTGTATTGCCAATTGTAAATTGAAACATTTTGACTTTATATTTATCCCTAACATTGCGGACAAGTTTAGTACTCGCGGAGATCGATCTAAGGTTGCTTCTTACCATGTAATACGCATAAATCCACCGTAAAGTGTAATAAAACACGTGGAAGAGCAACGCGGCAGCTATATTACATTTGTAGCACGAATGGGTTGGCTCGACCGGGGAATGACCACGCTCTTACCGGATACCGTCATGAAATAGCAGCTTAATTACGTGGTACGTAGCTTTTTTACGTGGTATAGTTACGCTGCAGCTACATTAGTTGTAGCACAATGCTTATAGCGTAAAATAGCAGCGAAAGGCTGTTGTGTTTCGTATGGTGAGTGTAGAGAACTGGAGACCCTTTACTGGAAATGTGGCATTTCATCTTAGTCCTCAGGGTTGGAGACGCATCTGCATTATGATTCTTAATCGAGGATAAATGTAGTCTATGGGTTATAGCTTCCACTTACCATCAGGTGGGCTGCATGCTCGTTTATCACCCTTATTCTATTAATGCTTGAGGCAGTCGCTAGAACACGTTTCTTAAAAATGCTTTCGGTCTTTTACACGAAGGTAATTTTCTCGTATTCGTATTTTTTCAAAAAGTTTAAGTCAGTGTTTCTTTATTAGTCGTACTCGTGAGACAGGGATTTAGTCTCAAAGTGAAGAGCTTGCGACTCACTCAGGGAGCGTCCTTCGTCTCAGTGTTTCACCTTTTGTGCTTTATTCTTGAACCTAACAAGTATTCATGTTCATTTGCTGACTTGCAAGACAAGTAACTTTTTAAATATACAAAGATAAAAGACAATCGCTGTTTTTATTTTTATGGAGGATTTATTTACATATAAAGTATATTTATAGCATCCACGTATCAAAGCATACATTTTAATAATACTTAGATACTTTCTTGTTTTCTGGAAGCGGTTTAAATAATATTTACGTACATAAATTGTAAATGGACAAACATCAAAACCCCGAACAACTATTTTCTAGGTCATAAAAAATAGTTGTTGTGTGTGGAATATGAAATTATGATATTATTTAGAAAACGAGAGATATCCGAACGCAACAAACTGTGCTTAGGTCTCGACTGGCTGTGGTCCCTGTGGGGGACCTTTACTGTGTTCACAAACATTGACGAGAAAACTGTGTCAGCATCATAGGATCCAGACCACTCTAGTAGTGTTTATTACTAAGCAATATTTCTGGGGTGGTCCGCACCTTTGATGCAGCATCCCGTCACAGGTATGTACACTTTTTGACATAAAATAAATGGATATACTAACTTCTGATAAATGGCTTTCAGAAGTTTTAAGATTTTTCTGAAATTTTCAATTGTCGTTTCTTACGACAATCACGGGACATAATATGGCGATGGACTTACCACCAGGCACAGTATAATACACACCATACATCCATTACATTCTATCAAAGGTCATCACTGAATATAGGCCCCTACGTAGGTTGCCAGATAAGCCAAGCGTGACAACGAGCGTGGCAAGACCTGTAGTTACCACCCTTAACGAAATCCGGTTTATTTTTATAGAATAAGTGTGACAAGCGAGCACACAGTCCACCTGATGGTAAGTGGATGCGGCTGCCCGTGACATCTACATCTAACCTCGATTAAGAATCAAAATGCAGATGCGCTGTCTCCCTTGAGGACTACGATGGAATGTCTCGATTATAGTAAAACTGGATTCCGTTTCTCTACACTCACCATACGAAACACAGAAATTTCTCTGTTAGAAATTTATCAGAAATTACGCTGCTATTTTACACTAGTAGTGAGAGCGTGGTCCTTCTCGGTTGAACCGACCCTTTCGTGCTATAACCATAACATCGTTGCAACGTGGCTCTACTACGTACAAAATACGTCTAAACTTTTTTATTTTCTTGTTGTTATTAGAAAGACGCTG